TGAACGTCAATAGTCAAGCCTCCATTGTTAGATCACCTAGATCCCATATAAACTTGTCAATATGAAAGAGGACTTAATCATGGGTTATTTTAGCTAGAGCACAAGGGCGACCCGATACTCTTGGATTATGCCTTAAATAGATTTGTAAGAAGATTTAAGGAATAAATATGCTTTATCATTTACCGTTAAATCAAAATAATTTTAATGATATTTAATTAATTAACATTTTCTTCTGATTTATTAAAATTCTTCATTTTCAGCTGTTTCGTGATACGCTGTCTACAGACTGTATGCAATCTTCTGAAAAACTGGTTGGCCGGTCGACTCCTCGAGCTTACAAGATTAATTGGTCTGTTGGCTCATACGGCATCTTCATCCGTCGTCGATCAAAGGTAAGTTCGTACATAATTTTATATAAAACCTTCGTCAGTTTATTTTATTTTTTTTATCCATGAACTCACAAAAATGTGTATTTCTTACTGATTTGACGATCTGGAAAATAGAATGCAGTTGTTACAAACGCTCTTCACTTTTTAAAACCCCTTTTATTTCTTCATTTCATCTTTTTTTGTTTGCTATGTTCTTCTGGTTAAACAGAAGCCTTGCACAGTTAATTTTAGCTTTTCTTCCATTGGGCCTCCTTAGTGAACTTCATTTTTATTTGAAATTGTCTATTTTATGATTCTATTCTAGCCACAAAGATTTAGGATCTAAATCATTTTTAGCTTAGTCCTTAACTGATTTTCTCGTTTTTGTTTTTAATTCAAGCACCAAGCTACAACCCACTCTCCTCGGAAATGGCACGAATTTCATGCATCATGGTTGCGCAATTACTTTGATCAAACCGAGCTGCTACGATCGGCTAATTCATTTACATCCCGCATCCCTACTTGCTCAGCAGCCAAAGTTTCTCCCTTTTACATGGATGGTGATCCAGAAATCACATTGTCAGCTCCCGTTTCTAATTTAGAGCATAATGAGGATGACCTAAGCATTGGTGGAACTCCAGAAGGGGTTTCTCAAGCTCCAAGCCGTTTAGAATCTTCTGAGACTGAGCATACTGCACTTACCCTCACTGAGCCCGTCAGAACTGGCGGGTTTCGTGAAGAGGCTTCAAAGAGGTCGGTATTTGGGTCTCGTCCACCTGACAGGTTGCTCAACAATTCTGCAGGTGAAGGGATCACGGAAGATAATATAAAGCTGAATATCTCGACAAATGAGGCAAAGATTGATTACATAGAGGACGATGAGGCGATAAATAAGAATAAGTGTGAGGCCAAAGCCGTTTCTTCTGATTCCCAACATGATATTTCCTTGACAGCCCAAGTTCAGTTACATCAAGAACCAGTGGCGAATAAAGAACCGAATGGAGCTGTGAAAGAAGAACACGATCCTGCTGAGTACACACATGAGGAATCCTCCAGACTTGGTCAATCCAGTTTATCTGACCCGATACGCTTAAAAGCCTCGGATATTCATTAGGGTGTTCTGTCCACCCAGACTTTTTTGCGTTTATCATTTTTCCCGTTACCCAGGCGAAGTGCAAATGACTCATGTTCATTTCAGTCACTTGTACATGCTTGATAATTGTACATAATTATTTATCTATATAGATATATTTGCATGCACAGGTTCACATGTATATTTCCTTTGGTCATTCGCTCAGAGGTTTATGGTTTTTCTTTCTCCACAATTTCCTCGCCTTCATCCATTCAATCCTCAACCTTCTCTCTTAAGTAGGCATGCCTTACTGCGATCTTGTACATATACCGTTGGTCCGCCATTGGTTGATTCCTTCTCTTATTCGGCCAGACATCTAATATAAGCCGTATTTCTATTTTAAAATTTACAACACGATATTTGTCTTTTGATAATCTAATGGAATATGGGGGTGATCGATGAACGTATACTTAGAGTCTCGCAATAATCTTTTATTAGCTATTTATTTTATATTTCGTATTTGTTGGAGGCGCATGTTACATATCATAGTATTCCATGCACTACCATGTATTCCAGAAAATATAGAAAATGACAATGAAATATGTTTGCAAGGAAAACTGAAAGTGATCCTGACTCGTCGATATATACTTTTGTAGACACCATTATGCGACGTAAAATAATAAGGAATACGGGGGAAATGACCATACAGCGGTGTCTTGCTAGCAATAGCCGTCTCCCAGGTCATACGCTCGATACTGTTCCCGCCCTTAATTTCATTTTAAAATCATTCATTGCACAGTTAGTCAGTAGTCTATAGAATTGGGTAAAAATATATACCTCTTACTGGATTGATCTTGTTGATTATCTACTTGGAACCTGTGATGGTTAATGGTTAGGCCCACTCAAGTATCTGGGACTCGTCCTGAGCTCAAATTTGTGGACTTCGTTTTGTTTTGACGATAAGGGCATTTACCCGGTCCGGAGAGAATGCAGGTCAAGACAAGCCAGATATGAGGCTCCATTTCGTATCAAAGAGCGTGATGAATTGATTCATAAATCAACCTCATGGAAACGCGGGATCTATCGCGTAATGCACCAGTTTGGCTCTAATACGAGTTGAAGCAGCAAATGAGACATTCGACATTCGGGGCGAATGGTCCAGGCATTCATTTGTCAATGGCAAATCGTCAGAGTTCGGCTTCAGATAGGTAGTCTTTTTCCTGTGAGATATATTGCGATAAACATTCAGTTGTTTGACCTTGTTTTCCCAACTTGGTGATATTGGTAGGAAGACTTAGAGGAACGCACCTAGTCCGGAGTCAATTGATCATCATCATTTTTATATGTTTCGACCGCATCGTAGTCGGCACCGTCATTGAGTCTCGCCATTCCTAGCGCCACACGACAACTTGTCGAAGAGATAAGTGAAGCCTATCCTTTGACCAAACGTGTGCTAAACAGTTGTGGTATCTCTCCTGCCCTGGGCTACTCACATTTCCTGTATCCTATCATGCCTTCCCTGTCACAATTTTTCCGTGCTTATTTTTTATGTAGTGTGGTGTGCTCCTTCGAGCGGCATTCATGAAAACCCTTAACACTCCACACTGTCGTTATCACCCCCTTCATCCTTGTGCTGGAAATGTTGACCAGAGTCTGACATTGTTACGTAATCCTTCCCTGGGCCCTATCACAGTCTCCCTCTTGCCCCGTAGAATCCGTCTGTAATCTCCCTCGTACATGTATTTCACTCGACCCCTGCCCCTCCCCATCTGTGCTACTCGAGGCGCAATTTGTCTATCTCCTGCACCTGGGTGATTTATTAAAGGCTAAAGCCTTAGAGTAAGTCTCATGTTCATGCCTTTGCTACATGGACCACGTCTCTTATGAAACCTACTGTCAGCCAACTATCTCTAGTCTCCGCCTCGTCTATCCTGTCTCTATCCCTAATACTAAGTCTATGACTTGCCATGTCCTAATCGTTTGTGTGCCAACCCACAAATATTGTTGTACTTTTGGCTTTTGATTAGGTTCAATGTTTAACCACAACGTTTGTGGGTTGGCACACAAGCGACTAGGGCATGGCAAGTCATAGACTTAATATTAGGGATAGAGACTGGATAGACGAGGCGGAGACTGGAGATAGTTGGCTGACAGTAGGTTCTACCAGAGACGGGGTCCATGTAGCAAAGGCATGACCATGAGAATTACTCTGAGGCCTTTAATCAATCACCCAGGTGCAGGGGATGGACGAATTAGGCCTCGAGTAACACATAT